GATTTTTCTCCATATAATGGACTTCAAATGGGTTTCTTGAACATGACAATGAGTTCACTGTACTAAAATGGCCCCCACAGTCACCAGATCTCAACCCAATAGAGCATCTTTGGGATGTGGTGGAACGGGAGCTTCGTGTCCTGGATGTTCATCCCACAAATCTCCATCAACTGCAAGATGCTATCCTATCAATATGGGCCAACATTTCTAAAGAATGCTTTCAGCACCTTGTTGAATCAATGCCACGTAGAAATAAGGCAGTTCTGAAGGCGAAAGGGGGTCAAACACAGTATTAGTATGGTGTTCCTAATAATCCCCCCTCCCCTCCCCCCCAATGTTCAAACCAAATCTACCCCCTTGTGAGTGGTGAACGCCATCTGAACCCTGATGTCACCAAACAAGACCGAGGCCGCTAACATAAGAAACGCAACAAGGACCAAAACCATGCAAATGAACCAAACATGATGATGTCACAAGATGCGACCCTAAAAAGGACAGAATGCTCAAGCATACCGTTTTTTCTTTTCATAGTTGTGATGTTGCCCATCACAGTTCGGTACAGGAGCAGAACCGCGTCTCCTCACAGCTGATCTTGATTTGTATGACGGAGGGATTCCTGTCTCTCTTTTGACTCCTTAACATATTTTATAAGCTCTTCACGAGTTCTCTGCTCGTCAAAATACCATCATATGCAGGCTCATTTATCCCAGCACACAGCATGTTTTGGATTACCGGTAAGTTCTGTCACAAAATATACGAAATAAAATCTGGCCAATCAGATTGTGAACATATCACTGTGCTTTAGGTTTCTTTAGGTTCGGTGTGAAAATACCAATGTGAATGCTAAGTGGACCAGGACTACTTTTTTTTTTTGGCCCGGACCAAATGAACCAAGTGAACCGAGCTACAAATATAAACACACCCTTAGCAGGTTGAGCCCTCATTGAGGTGCATTTTGGGATAGAACGAGTGCACAAATGGCTTTCCCCTCAAATGGTATGGTGGCAATTTAGAACACAGCCTTGGAGTCTGTAGCTGATGAGTTGAGTCAGGTGTGTTTGTTTGGAAAAGTTTGGAAATGAGTAGCCTCCTGCAGGGTTGCGGAAACACTGCCATGGCGTTCTCACACCTATCTCAATTTTTTTACAATCTTGCATTTTCTTTCACAAGGCAATCTTTTAAGCATACCAAAATGTGTTTATGCAAGTCACATACTCTTATAATATGATGACCTCTTAGATGTCAAAAGCTCAAGGAAAATTTGATTTCTCAGTTCATCACCCCTTTAAATATCTTTAATACTTTTTGACTTTGAGATTTCCCCAAGAAATAGGCAAGAATTAACCTGATGTCCTCCACGATTCCCATTCTTTCTGACAACAAAGCACACAAACTTGACAAACTTCTAGTCTTGACTTTGAGGATTTCAGAAGAGGGATAAAGCATGTGAAGGCTAATACTCCCAGGAACTTCTACCGAAACGTTTGACTCTCCAGAAGATCCACACCCTTGTTTGTGTTATTTTTATGTGTGATCTGAACACCATAAACTTTATCCTACTGTGATTTTGGGCTGTTGTCTTAATCTCTGTGTCTTGTATCAGCTGTGAGAGGAATGTGTGTGTTTTGGGTGAGGTTCTAACTGGATCTCTAAGTAATGTGCACACTTAGCACATATGGCGCTTGAATTACCAAAAAGCCAGGACTAATAATTAGAGAAGGATAATGTGAAGGACATCAAATAAAACAGAAAAATGACAACTTCAGAAAGCCGCCAAATACAAGTAATGACAATTACGTCAGAATAAAACGAACAAAAATGTTTGTTACATCACCTGAAGTACAGTACGGTGCACTTGTTGACCTCGGTGTGTGATCAAAGTCTGCAGATGACTGAGGTTTGCAGCAGGCAGTGAAGTGTAATCTCTTCCCACATTATTACGCTCCTCTAATCTCGCCTTCTGCTGTGAAAAGGCTGCAGAGCTACAGAAACGTACAATTAATTTAGATTTCTTATAAAGGTCTATATTCTGATTAACCTTTTTATTCAGTCTATTCTCTAGATATCAGAATATTTATGTGATTGCTATGTAATCTGAATATCACCAAATACTTCTTATTATTGGGATACTACTAAATGTGTTCATCGACATCCATACATGCTAAAAAACTGATTTTGTTTTTTTTTAAAAAAGTTTAGTTTATTGAATTGTAATCAAAGACCTCTGGGGTGTATATGAATCTTTCGGCAGGGATTCAGGTGCTGGGTCATTATGAAAACGAGGCTTTAGCTGAACCCCTCGGTTTGACAGCAGAGTCATGTGACGGCTTTGAGTGCCGCTGTGTGGGATTAATGATCAAGGCTGCATGTGGCTTTCATGCAATGGAAATACCTTTCTCTTTCACTCTCCTGTTTCTTTAAATTGAGCTATAGCTAGTTTTCATCAGGACTCGAGGTTTTGCAATAACAGGCTGAATGGTCTCTCTTTCAGTCACATTTCCTCAAAACAGCACTTTAAGTCTGTTCAACCATAGACCTTAGACTTTATCAACTGTTTATCTTTAAAGTTATTACAAAATTAGACAATATTTAGGTTTCCATTTCACAAGCTTTTCTAGGATATTAGATTGTTCAAAATACAGTGAATGTTAGTGGCCCACAGAAGCGTGATTGAAACGAAACCATTTTTGTGGTAAAAGTGGAAGCTGGAAATTAATGTCAACAGTTCTGAGACAAAACATTACCAGATGTCTTTATAGAGACTGTTTTTTTAATATAATATTTTTTGGTAAATGGTCACTATGGCCAAAAAAACTTTTGCGTTTAGCCAATCTTACGCCATCTAACCATCCAACGTGTGCTGGCCATTTAGTAAATAGATCCTAGGTAAACATTAAAGGGCTTGCAAAGTTTTCGGAGAAAAGGTAAAGTTACAGCAAACAATGACAGAATCAAGCCAGGGCTGTTAATATTGATATACATTTACCAACTGGAGTGTCAAAGTAAATGAGTCATAGTGCATCTGACAGCCATTGAGTTGAATTGTAAAGAGGATGATGTTAGAACTTTAAAATTAAACAAATTCATTCTGTATTGCCAAATTTTAAATGCAATTGTATTTCATTTTAATTGTATTATAAAACGGTTAGTTCCAATCCTTGATTCTGATTGGTCAATAGCTGTGCTTTATTCATGACAAAACATGTTTTTATTTGAGCTTTCATGCATATTACGAATTGGAACATTGTTGCTGTTCATGGAATGAAGGCTTTTAGTGATTTTACTTCATGAAAGTTGCATTAATTGGTGATTCTCCAACTACAGGCACTTTTGTGTCCTTGGCCTTTTTTTGTAAATAAATAAACAAACAAATGCACAAATACATTGTCTTTATGAAGTTCATGCTCCATCATCCTAGTAAGCACCAAATCTGGCCCCTGTTTTCTTTTTACTTTAATAGTCTTATTGTGTGGTAATCGTTTTATAAAAGCAATAAAGTATTCGAGGCAAGTTACTTATTCACGATAGAGCACAGCCTCTTGTACCTTATTGCTTACATAAACTAATTTAGCTTTAGATAGTTTCCACAAAAAATATTGTTTTTGTCATTAAATATGTCGTTTCAAATCTATAAGACATACATCTTCGGAACACAAATGAAGATATTTTTGATGAAATCCGAGAGCTTTCTGTCCCTCCATTGACAGCAACGTCATAACCACTTTCAAGGCCCAGAAATGTAGTAAAGACATCGTTAAAATAGTCCATGTGAGTAAAGTGGTTCAACCTTAATGTTATGAAGCGACGAGAATACTTTTTGTGTGCAAAAAAAAAACTATTCTATTTAACATTTTCTTCATTTCCGTGTCAGAATGACACTGTTCATGTTATAAACGCATAGTACAGCTCTTTAGGGTTCTACGTCAGAAAGTCGGCTCAGTATTGGCCAATGACTGGATTTTATCCAGTATTGGATAAAATCGTTATTTATTTATTTTTATATACAAAAAATATTCTCGTAGCTTCTTTACATTAAGGTTGAACTACTGTAGTCAGATGGACTACTTTAACAATGTCTTTACTTCCTTTCTGGTCCTTGAAAGTGGTTATGACGTTGCGGTCTATGACGGACAGAAATTCCTTAAATTGTGTTCCGAAGATGAACGATTTTTTTTTAAATAAGCCTAATCAAATAATAAAGTGGATCCCATGGTAACTTTTAAATTCTCACATTCCAATATGGTATACCTACTAGGCTATGACAATAGGCTACATCAGAGAATATGCACAACTTACTTCCGCATTCTGTAAAACAGGTCGCATCGCTTCCGGTCCAGGTCTTTAGTATGTGCTTCATGATTTTTTAGCGATTTTACTCAAGATAACTTAAAAGGAGCGAACAAAGATTTGCATAACCAATGTCCCTCACATACATGAGCAGATTGATATTTAAACGTTTTATATTTTTTCTTCTTCACAGTAACGTTTAGATATTTAAATGGAATAAAACGCCAATAACAGAGTGAACTAGGTAGGTTAGCTGATTACATTAAAAATCCATAGATATCGTAGTCAGTTCTTATACGGCCGTTTGACAAGTGGATGCGATGAGACCTGTTTTCCGGTTTGGTCACGTGACGCTCGACATAAAGCCTATTGTGACAAAATCACAGAGTCGTGGAGGCAAACAATACATATCATTGTTACATCAACTTAGCTCTAAGCTATTAACCACAAATTCTGTTTACCAAATGTGATCCGAATTAGATATGTTTTTTTTTTTTTATCTGATTGTGTTCACTCTGTATCTCTAGGTGGATTGAAGGCTGAAATTGAAATCAAGTCTGATGCCCCCCAGGGATCAATACTGGGCCCACTGCTCTTTAACATTTACACTTTTCAGTTCAATAGGCCTAAATTATAATGTTCTATTCACTGTAATGTTTTAGTATCTTGTTCTATTCATTATTTATTAAAATAAATACAAAAGGCATTTGAACTGAACCGTACCAAACAAGCATGTTTAATTCACAATGACACATTTGACAGTAATATATACATATAAAAAAAACATTTCAGCTGGCATGGTACTTTTAAAATCCTAATTGATACAAACACTTCATCTGCACTTTTATACTGAGCTCATCTTTCCTCTACAGACTTTATAGAAAGTCACTAAACTAATAATAAAGTCCTAATACATTTTCACAAATTGCATATTTTTTTTTACCAAATGCTAAAAATGGCAACTTTAAATAGTGTTGTGAAGTGTTGATATTCTGCTTTTCCCTCCCAATGAAGGCCACTGAGTAGATTGTGCGGCATCCCAAATGATATGTTCAACCCAAACCTACGTGCCTATTCCCTCTGTATTTCAGACAGCAACCCGCTTGTCTTTTGGTTTACAATGTTGCTTGGTTTCTGTAAGGTTTCTATAACCACAATTTATTTGGTCATGCACATTTGCCAAACGAGTGCTTTCCACAATTCAGAGGACTTCCCTTCAGTTTTACGACAGCATTAACAAAATATCAGTCCTCCTCTCGCAGTTCCACAACAAAAACATATTTTTTTACAGCATTTCCACCTTGTGTTTAGATTGACAGAGCACAACAAACAAGGCATCAGCTCGTATATATATTAAAAATAATAATAATAATAATAAAAAAAAACAATAAGAGAAGGTTGTCTAGTTCCTACACTGACTAGTTTCAGTGCTATTACACAGCAGTTTGAAATATAGGCATGGTGAAGTACAGTGGAAACATCTTCAGATCATCTAAATAGAGTGAAGGATTCAACAGCAATCTTTAAAAAACATCTAAAAATACTCTCGGTTAAAGCATAGATCATTTGTTTGTTTTTGTTTACCTCCTAATATCACCAAATCTAAATCTTACAAAAGGCTCTTAAAAAAAAACTTAATTACCAATAACTTAAATACATAAATTATTACATCTCTCACAAAATTGAAAAGTTAACTAAGAAAACAAAACAATATAAAGTTTGAATTTGTGAAATATAAAACAGAAAACAGATGGGTAAGAAAGAAAAAAACAAAACTGGTCCAGAAATTTCTACTTGGTCCAGCAGCCGAACATCGTTGCATTACCTCCACAGGAAGGACACCAGAGTCTGACGTCCTGTACGAAGACAAGCTTTGGCACAGACACACCAATCAGACGATGCGGTAAACACACATGCAGAGGAGGCCAGCCTTGCTCTCCAGCCGATTTAAATAGTCAATATGTGTATCAGAGGGCTGTGTGGTGCACGTGTTGTCATGGGGTTCAGTTCTTCTCACAGCATGGTATACATCATTCAGCTGATCCAAAACACATTGGTACCCTTAACAGAACCGAATGTTCTCTGTCTAACCCGCTGTTTGCTCACAACGACGACTCCACCTCCCTAGTGATGATCACGACGGATTCCGCTTTGCTTGTGTCCTCCACGGACTCGCTGATGATCTCCAGAGATGTGGCAGAAGCACTAGGTATCGTTGGGGTCTTGGAGTCGCACAGTTTCTTCGGCTCTAAAACTCCGTCGGGAGGTTTCGCGGCGTCGATTGCGCCACAGCAGAGCTTCGGGGCGCACTGTGTTCTACAGGAGAGCTCGCAAAGCGACGTGCGAGACTCGGAGTTCATCGTTACGAATTCCGGTTGAATGGTCGTGGCGTGGATGCCCTCGTTGTGGAAGAAGTCCTTGATCCGCTTGGCCACGTCCATGTAGGACGTCGGGTCCTGGCATTTGATGTGCGCGGTGGCGATGATGCGACTGCCCGCCAGCTGCCAGATGTGCAGCTCGTGCACCGCCAACACGCCGTCCAAGTCCCGCAGGCGAGAGTTGAGTTGATGCATGTCGATTTGCTTGGGGACGGTCTGTAGCAGGATGAGTGCAGACTCCTTCAGCAACGGGTACGTGGTGTAGAGGAGGATACAGACCATAATGATGCAGAGCGTGGGGTCGAGGTAGAGCACCCAGCAGGGTCCCGCGGTGGACGTTACGTTGGTTCCAGCACTGCTGATGTTGAGCGAGTGGTCTGCACAATAATGGCCCACACAAGGGTTCTCGCAGACAGTGCCCTCCTCGCATGGCGTCCATACAAAAATGAAGATGATGGCATTGATCACCACGATGACCGAACCAAGAGCGTCTCCCAGGACGTGCAGGAAAACACCCCGCATGTTGAGCTGGGATGCGGAGTCGTGTCCATTCTCGAGCTCTTCGTACGGAGCGCTGCCGTTAAATTGCAAATCCACGTTGTCGCTATTACACATCTCTACGGAGGAGAAAGAAAGAAAGCAAGTGTGAACATTCAAGGAAATCTGTAGCCTGGGTTTCCCCATTCTGCCTTGCCGCAGCGCGATTTTATTCGCGCTGCTAGGCAGTCTGGATACTAGGAGTGGGTATTGAGACAAATTTCACAATTCGATTCGATTTCAATTCACAAGCTTGCAATTCGATTCGATTTAATATCGATTATCAGTTACAATAAATGGCAATTTTTCTCAAGGGAATCAAATCTCTTAACTAATGCTGTAAACTGTGGGAGTCTAGTTGTAGCCTACTAGGGTTCATTAGCCTAATATGAAGGTAATAATGAATGAATCACTTAAATTACACTTATTTATTTTTATAATACGAAGATTATATGAAATATAAACATTTAAATGGTGGCCGTCATAAAAACTTGCCAGATTTATTCAAATATGCATTAAATATTGAAGAACATTAAGATTATAATGCATATGTAATATGGTGTATTTATTTAGCAAAATGCTCCTCTCTAGAGTTATTTTTTCTAGCTGACTAACGAGTTTATGCGGGTTTTCTGAGGTAAATATGACGATACATTGATTATACAAGCTGTTTAACTGACGTCTTTCCACGGTTGAAACGCTGATTGAGCGAATCAATGTGACTTGATACGGATTTGTGTAATGTACAATGTAAGTTGTGTAATCTTTTAACACACTTTCAGATGCTCATTCATGTTTATTTCGCGCTGTGACTGGTATTATTAAGCCGGAAGAGAGATCAGCGCTGCTGCATCTCTTGAGCTGCGCCAGAGCAATCTCACGCCACAGCGCCAAAACACTATTTATGTTTTTGAATTTCTAAAGAAAATGGACGTAATTTGAAAATTGAGACTTTGTTTCATATCAATAGTAACAATGGACAAAGATTATTGCGATTTTTTGAATGCGCGCAGCCGCGATACAATGTCCCATTCATTCAAATGAAACAGGATGACTAATCGATTCTTGAGACTTAAGAATCGATATCGGTTCGTAAAAATGAGGACCGATTAATATCGAGAAATCGATATTTATTACCCAGCCCTACTGGATACCATGAACCAAATTTTCCCCTGAAACAGGGAACCAATCACAGAACGGGGAGGGAGCACAGGCGCATTTGATAGACGTACAGGCGCATTTGATAGACATTCGTAGCACCCCATAATACGGCTCTGGGCATTCGTAAACCACGCCTCAAAAATTAGAAAATTTACATGTGGTTTCCAGACCATGTTTCATTCTCAATGATACGTGGTCTGGCGTTGCACATAGGACAAAATAGGAGTTTGAAAATACAGCAGTTACGCTTTGTTCCGTTTAACTGGATTTACAACTTCCTGCAATTCCAAATTTTGTGTAATAAATGTGAGGACAATGCGGGCGTTGGTGTTTTTTTTCAGGGCGCCTCTAATTCTATTGGTTTAACAGCATGCTGAAATAAGGTATAAAAGCACAGGAACACATCACTGTTTACACTACTCTGTTCGTTTGTGTTCACAGGATTCCAGACAACAGTATTGGAGCAGCGTGGGGTGGACGTGGAATGCAGTGTGGACTTACAGGAGGCTTTCTTTCCTGGAGCAAGGAGCATTTTTTTAAAGAGTCCATTTTCTCTCTCTCAGAGTGTTTCTCTAACCAATAAGCATGCGACAAGCAGAGAAATGAAAAACTCAATGGAATTGGATCCCATCGACATTAATTCAATTGGTAAAAACGTTATTTTGTTTGTTTCATGGAAGAAAATAAACTGTACACACTCAAATGACCTTGGTGAGTAACTGACGGCATTACTTCCATTTTTGGATGAACTATCCCTTCAAGCAATATTACATTTGACTGAATATTAAAAACATTTTCACAGATTAAAAAAAACCTGGCCTGGAGTATGTGAGTGGAGTGGAGCAACGGTAGTTTCCCTTCCCGCTTAAAGTGTTCAGTAATCACTCTCTCATTACATGGACAAAAAACAGTGTTCCACCACAGAAAGTTAAGGCTCATCCAAGAATGAAAACTATAAAGATAACTATTAGCATCCACACCAATGCACAATAATGTGGCCCTTTCATCGCTGCTTGCAGCTTTAATGTTTTGTCTATTATTGCTTCGTTTCGCTTTGTTACGGACATTTAACGGTGTGTACATACATGCGGAATCACTCGGACATTTAACGGTGTGTACATACATGCGGAATCACTCGGACATTTAAAGGCGTGTAAACATGCGGAATCACTCGGACATTTAACGGCGTGTACATACACTCGGAATCACTCGGACATTTAATGTAGACATACATGCAAAAGATGATGGTTCGTTTCGGCATGGACATACACGCGGATAGCTCAAAATGCGTATAGATAACACGCCACTTGACTTGAAAGTGGTGTGTATGTTTACGCAAAGTCATGATGCCATGTTGACCTGTAGTACCCCATTCACTGCACATTTTTAATGCATCTTATCAAACACATTTGAGGTCTTGGAGTCTTTACCAACAAGCCGATGAGTTGAATCAGGTGTGTTTGACTAGGGAGACAGTCTTTTGACTAGCACATCCAAAATGTGCAGCGCTGGGGGCACTCCAGGAGGCTTTAGTTCAGGACCTTCTGTTCATTAATAGAACATATTTGCAATGAGCTGATGATTCACCGAGTCCTGTGGGGCGATGTTACCCATCTGTTCATCTCTCATCTGGACTGTCTTAAACGAGCAAGACGACATGATGAGCTTGGTTGAAAATCCTCCAAATAAGCAAAGTGACTGTTTCAACTTTGAAATCATTTTTTTTTCTTGAGGGAATCTGGTTACAGTTCTGCTTATCTGATAAAAACAGATAAAAGCACAGAAAGCACATGATCTTTGGTGGGAGTGAGCTGACATACGATCCCATTGTAGTGGATCCATGGAAACAAGAGATTTAACCTAATTATACAAAAGCTCAAGATTGATGGTTTCCCACAAAAAGAGATTAATCATATAAATAAACAGAGAGCGATTAAAAAACTCCTTCCAAGGCCTCCAAGACAATGGAGAGCTGTCGCTGAGTGTTTGTCTTCCCATGTTTTTGCAGTGGTCTGCCGTTTGTCAGACCCGTCTGCGGATTTTCGGCCGATTGAGTGTGTTGAATTGCCATTGGTGAGAGAGATCACTCGGATAGGCCGTTTAGTGTAATGGACCAGTGTACAATGAAAACAGAAGTGATTTTTTTTCTGATTATGCCTCCAAATCTTGCTTACTTATACAAGAGGAAGTGAGGACTTTCAAGTTTATCCATTTGAATGACGAATGTTGGGGGTAACGCATAACAAGCAACGCAAGTTACGTAAAATCAGATTACTTTTTTCAAGTAACGAGTAAAGTAACAGTACTTTTAAATTTACAACAACATAAGTAATGCAAGTTACTTAGGATATATACACAAACATGGATATTTTAAAAACAGCAGCTTTTTCTATGTGGTTTGGCCATTCATCCACACGCAAACGCAGTAGCCGGTCACTGATTTTTTAGAAACTCCTGTTGAAGTGCTGTGTAGACTCTGAAACCAGAGATTTTGGCTTGTGACCATAGACATTATAAGAAGTGGACAGAGCCATCTCATTGGAAGTCCCTGCGCGTCCCTGACGCGCAGACTCAAACAGAGCTTTACGACGTAGATGTGACAAGAGCAACCCGTCTGTCTTCTAGTGGCTGTGGCATGAGAAATCTGAATCATTCCCTTCTGAAACATGCAGAGGCGGAGAGTGTGAGTAGAAGCTGTCCAAGAGCCATGAGCATGAGACACTTTTGCTAGGTATGATTAATTATTTTGTCATTTTGCCTCCAGGTTTCCAGAGAATCGCTTAGGTATGACGCAATCGTTAGCCTACTTTTACAAAAAAAAAAAAACTGCTTCTACGGGGCCATAACATAAGCTACAAGGTAGGGTTGCCGCGGTGAGGAAAATTTCCCACCGGTTAATCGACGTGTGACAACACCGGTAATCCCGGTGTCACCGTGGAGGGCAGGGCGGGGGGGTTAAATAGCTTTTAAATGCGTGCGCGTTATACTTTCACTTTCGAAATAAGCGTCAATTGCTTGAATGGACAAAAAAACAACTCGCTGATAATAAAACTTTTATTTATAGACTTTTATTAGCATAACGAACGAATAAAAATAACCCCATGCATAGGCTGAAAAAAGTGAAAATCGGCAAAATGTGGGCCCAAACAAATAAGAACCATAAAACGTTTATTAACGAATAAGAAAATAAAATAGGCCTAAATAAATTACACAAAGTTTAAATGAGATAAAACCAATTAAAAAGAGACGAATATAAAATAAAAACTTCAAAACGGACCTTAGCCTACATAAATGACATACTTTCACTTTCGAAATAAGCGTCAATTGCAATTCAGCGTCAATTGCTGGAATGGACAAAAAAAAAAAAAAAAAAAAAAAACAACTCGCTGACAATAAACTTTTATTTAGACAGCACTTTTATTAGAATAATAAACGAATAAAATATAGACAGAACTTTTATTAGCATAACGAACGAATAAAAATAACCCCATGCATAGGCTGAAAAAAGTGAAAATCGGCAAACTGTGGGCCCAAAAAAAATAAAACGTTTATTAACGAATAAGAAAACAAAATAGGCCTAAATAAATTAAACAAAGTTTAAATAAGATAAAACCAAATAAAAAGAGACGAATATAAAATAAAAACTTTAAAAAGGACCTTAGCCTACATAAATGACAGCACTCTAAAAAAAAGTAAAACACTATAAATTGGCATTTATTAACATTAATATATATTGGCCAAAATATTGCCAAACAGGCGCTTTTGCATTGCGTTTTGACACCAAATCTTCCGCCATTATCTTGCTTTTCTGTAATTTGACTCGTTCTCGTCTCCACACGCGCTAAATGGAATCCTGATGCTTGCTGATCTGTGACGTGACGGCACGCGTTGCGCAGTTCATTTTTAATTATAATGCTCTCTTCACAACTAAATAATTGAAAATTATTATTTTTAATTAATTCAAATAAATATTTTAGCAAAAACGAATACTTTAAAAAAAAAAAGTCAAGACATCGCGGTGTCACGGTGGGAAAGTGATGTCACCGGTGATGGGGCATAAAACCGGTAACACCGTCAACACCGTCTATCGCGGCAAGCCTACTACAAGGTAATGGAGCATTTTATAGCCTACATTGTCATGTTTCTTTATAAATAAATAAAGGACAAATGGGGTCTTCAAACGCCTCAGATGTAAAGTTATTCATCAAAGTGAATGAGAGTCAATGGAAATGCTAACGCAAGTGAAGTTCTGCTACATGGCAGCTCCCGCGAGGCTTCAACTTCCGGTTGATGGATTACCCCCTTGCTTGTGACGTAGGAACCATAACCAGTAATAAATTTTTTTCCAGGCTTCTGATTGGCCAGCATGTCTTTACGGTTAGTTATATCGCCACCTGTTGGTTTGGCATGCTCTTGACAGCACCATAGCGCTTTTTGTGGACTAGGCTTTAGTTTTCCCATTTATTGACGTTGTGTGAATGCTTGTTGTGTGAATGCTTATAGTTAATCTAGACTAAACGTGTGCATTTACTCATCTCACTTGAACAAAAACAGATTTAGTATTCCTGAAAATTAATAAAAGCAGTGAAATGCAGTACCTGAATTAAATATGATGTTAAATAGTAGTACAAATGTACTTCACTTTATTAACCAATGACTTCTGGCCTGATATGATCCAATTGAATCATAGTTAATAAGCACACATATTCTGTGATAAATTTGCATATCATCTTCTAAGTTTGGAAGGACATGAGGGCGAGTAAATAAGGACAATTCCCGGTTTCTGGTGAGCTATCCATCAATTGAAAATAATAGGTTTGTTTCTATGGTTGTGAGCAAACAAACGTAGCCAATAAGAAACACAAGCCCTAACAAGAAAGTTTTGCACACGTTTAAAAAATAAATAATTAATCCTCTCAATCATATCCGACTTAAATCCTGATGATATAGCACATGACCTCGTTTGTTTTGTATTAAAGGGTATCCAGAACACTAGCGATTTACTACGAAGCAGAAATGAGAACAAACCCGATTTACGCTCCGGATTAACGCCATTCGGGCTGTTGTTGTGATTCCCGACCAGATTATTGGTCTCCTCCCCCGTGGACCGACTGTCCTCCAGCGTCTCGCATCGACGGACCTTCCCGTTCTTGTGTTTTTTGTGTCCCCCGTGGCTGTGTCCGTGTCCGCCGCCTCCGGCGTGGCCGTGAAAGAGACAGAGCCCGAGCAGGTTGACCAGCAGCCCCGCAGCCCCCACCCCGATCACCACGTCGGGTCTATCGATCTCATGGGGCTCCGTGAAGCGCTCGATGGCCTCCAGGATGATGGTGAAGCACAGCGCGGTGAGGAACACGGCGTTGACAAGCGCGCCCATCACCTCGGCCCGGATCCAGCCGAACGTGTTCTTGTTGGTGGACTGGGTCTGCTCAGCGAAGCGCACCGCTACCAGCGCCACGACTAGCGCGATCACGTCCGACAGCATGTGGAAGGAGTCCGACAGCATCGCTAGAGAGGACGTGATCCGGCTCACCACCACCTCCACGATGAAGAAGCCGAAGGTTAGCGACAGCATGCACAGCAGGCGAAGCCGGTTTTGTCCGCAGGCCATGATTCCACCGAGAGCAGAGCACAAAACAAAGCTTTAAACGAACACGGTCCTCTTTTGGATTAATATCCCATAACTGAACTCGTTCCCGACCGACAGACTGTAAGCGATGCGTTGCTCCGTGTGCAATGAGCACTGGGGATCGGGTTCGGTCCGGTTATACAGTCCGTTTTCCGTTGCTCGTCTGCAGACGGCTGAAACTTTGCACCCGGACCGGCGAACTTTCCACACGGAACACGCTCAGCGTTAGGCCACGCCCATACTCGCCTGCTATTGGTTGAGAGTATGGGGTTGAGGAAAATTTAAAGGGACAGTTCACCCAAAAACATTTAAAAACTGTTATTTGCTCACCATCAAGTTGTTCCAAACTGTACGAGTTTCTTTCTTCTGGTGAACACACACACACACAAGATTTAAGACCGTTGATGGTATGGTATTTTATTTCCTACTATGGAAACCAATGGCTACAATCAACTGCTTGGTTCCCAACATTTTTTTAAATTTCTCATTTTGTGTTCAAAAGAAGAAACTCATGGTTGGAACTATAAAATTAAATTTAAAAAAAAAATTATTCTACATTCTATTATTTTGACACTCAAAACTGATTTTTTCTGATTGTGACGAATAAAAACAAAACTGCTAATATTTGTACGTCTTTATTGTAAAGAAACAGCCATTCCAAATAAAAACACAAGTTCCACATCTATAAAATCATAAGAATACATAATCATTTAAAAAAAAAAAAAATCCAGTGTTATGCCCATTAAATGAAGTTTTGTTAACTGTACTGTACAAATGCTACACAAATAAATAAAATCAGAAATCTTATTTCCTAATGTACACTAAATAAAATCCTCTTGACTTGATTGACCACACAAATGCACTACTTTCAGTAGTAAATTCTAGCGGATACCCAGCATTTCTTTGGGCTTTGGTAGGTACATGTTTTCCTCTTCTCCAAGAGCCTGGATGCGCATGTTTGCCCATTGGTGTCTCTTTACAAGACAATGTTCATTTGGTTTAGTGATCAGCTTGCTCTCGGGTCTGCTGTTCTCCTTGCCGTCTCCTGCAAAATGAACCCTCTTCTTTCCTGGAGAGACGTTCTCTTCATTCTCTGTAAAAAATAAATAAAGAAATATATATATGCAATAAAAGAAAAAAAACACAAATGCATTAACAGAAAGCATTGAAATAAGAAAAAAACATGTTCACTTGACTATAAAGCACTAAAAGGTTTAAAAAAAAATGGTTTTCTACCTGTGTCACTGGCACTGAGTAGAGACAACGCCCTCTGCTGGCGGATCAAATTATAAGCCTTCAACAAGCTCTCTGCTCTGTTAGAGACGAATTACAATGACATATCAGCAAAACATAGCATACGTGAACAAGTGCTCAATTGTTATAACAATTTATAAAGCCACTACTAATGTTAGCTGCTAATATTTAATGCAGTCACATGACCAGTACAGCAAAAGGCGGCAATATATTTACCTGGCCATCTTTTCATTTGATTGTTGTTCTCGAACACACAGCTCCTGTTCCCTTTCTACAAAAAAAGTGAAAGGTCAGACACCACAAGCTCACAGAATGAAATGTCTTGCCCGGTAAGTGTTATATAAAGAGTTAGTTCACCTAAAGTGAATATTCTGTCATCAGTCACTCACCCAAACCCACTAGACTTTTGTTGGGAATTTCCAAACGCAAATTAAGATTTTTACTTCAACCTGAAGGATTTCAGTCTCTCCATTGAAAGTCCATGCAACCAATACTATAGCTGCGAGCCAAATGGTTCGAAGAACGTTAAGGACCGGTTCCAGTTATACGTTTCCACTTGAGCCTGGTTTGGCACAGCACGATTACAAACCGTTTTTGGTTCTAGCCAACATGTCTTACCAATACTTTGTATCACACACCAAAGAGCTCAGTTATCAGCTCTACAGTGGAAAATGAACCCAAATCCTTACCGCATGGGCTGGATCGGCACAGTGTGGTATGGTTAAGTAAAGAGAACGGTTTCGAGGGTTTCCTACGATGGAAAAGCAGCATTTGATGCTTCAATATTTCATGAAGATAGTAAAAGGAATCAACACGAATCCAGCGGTATAATCCTAGCCATCTGAATAGACACGATCCATTTATAACAAGCCTCAACATCCCTCCTTCGAAAGTTTCTAGTAATCCTGACGACCTTGGCTGTGTTTACACTTGGCCTTAACATGTGAACAGGATCCAGGATGTTGTCCATACAAAAGACAACAGTAAACAATGCACCATTTTGCCACAAATATCTTAACAACAGTATTATGGGTTTGGAACAACATGAGAGTGAATGGTAACAATTTTCATTTTTAAGGGAACTACCCCTTTAACAAAGTAACAAAGTGTTTGGTTTCTATTGTCACATGGGAAACGCCCTACTTGAAAGCCCATTTACACTTCCCAACTGTGATTGGATCACTTAAGAAAGGTGTTAGTTCCAGGTGAAAAGAGGCCATAAGAAAACCCAGACGGACTCACGCTCTAGTCGCTGCTCTCGCTCTTCGATGGCCTGCTCTCGCTCGCGTAGGATCTGCTCCTTCAGCCGCAGCTCTGCCTGAAGCGACGGCTCCGGGTGTTTGGGCTGCTCTACGTCCACTGACCTGCGCCGCTGCTTCTCCTGAAGTCTCCTCTGCTCCTGGGCTACATAGCCTGAGATCAAGCTGTTCTGCAGAATGGACTCCACCGAGGGCCTCAGGTAGTCCTAACAATAGAGAACAGCTAAATCAGAATGTCCCACACAGCAGAGAGGGCAATATAAAAGGAAAAATCTAGTCGATATTTTTAAATTCGAACAATAATACAAATAATCCACAGAATGCGTTTTGGGGTATAGAAATGAGAGAAGCGGTTTAAAAAAGGCATGTTTTTATGTTTTGTCCGGCTGGATTGTTTCTGCTCCATACGTGAGTTTTGCTATGTTTCACAGAACCAGGATGTGGCCCCATCCACACTACTGCGTTTTCGTTTAAAAACATTTTTTGCTACGTGTGCACCTCCTGTCTAGACTAAAACAGAAAAAAACGAAGACCTAAAACGGAGAAGTTTAGAAACGCTGCAGCTCCGTTTTGAATCTCCGTAGAGCGTTTTAGTGAAGACGGGACAAACCGGAGGACTTTAGAAACGATGACGGAGAGGCTCACGCTCGGCTCTATGATTGGACGTGTCATTGCTTGATTCGTCAGCCACCCATCACATGACCCGTGCCCGACGTAAGAAAACATGCAAAAACGACTTCGTCATTAGTCCATAAAAATAAATCTATGGTCTTCGACATTTCTAATCTTTGCAGAGGTATCTAACGTTACTTTCTTCTTCATCAAATCAGAAGAATAGTCAATCCGTTTCCCGTTTACACCGGCACGCGCACGCCCAGTGTTGGTGAATGGTCACGTGATCCGACGGAGATCAATTCTAATACGCAGATAAAACACTGGTGTGTTTTTTTTTTTTCGTTTTAATTCTCCGTTTTTAAACGAAAACGCAGTAGTGTGGACAGGGCCTTAGTTGTTGCATTGCATGCTTGTTATTTTTTGGGGGCGGGGCAATGATGGGAGTGGTGTTTTTATTGGGTGTCGAATTTCAAATAAACATATTTCTCAGAAATAGCTAACTGCAGCTTTAAACGCATTGAAATTGTTTTCAGAACTGCTATACAGTGTTTTAAATCATACATGCCTTCATTATTATTACCCAGTCACCCAACTGACCAAGAGTTGCAAAACAACTTCTTTCAGCCAATCACATTTCAACTGTTCAGTCAGTTAACAATCCTTTGAATTCAAATTCACTTTGACTTTATCCGACAAGTTATACTGAGAAAAAAAATTGAAAATATAAATGACGGTCTTCAAGACAAAACTGAGTTTACCTTCAAGTTCAGCATTTTGGAAAGGAGCGTGTTCATATCCTCTGAGTATCGGTAAGGGATTCTCTTAAACTTCCCTTCTCTGATTTTTCCGGCCAGCTCTGTTTGGTTGTATGCTGTAAATGGGGGACTTCAAAAAAGAAAGAATGTGACAAAAAGATTCAAGATTCGCAACTGCCTATAAAAACACAATCAGTCTGAAGATAATGGAGTACGGTGGAACCAGTAAAAATACGAGAGGGACAACACATGTATACTTACGACAAAGCACATAGTTCATAGAGTAAACATCCTAAAGACCATATGTCTGATTTTTCGTTATAGGACATGCGATTAATTTGTTCCTGTGAATGCAAGAGAAAAATATTAATAAAACAAGAACAGCCGTGACGTAGAAATATTATGATGAAACAGTGGAACAAATAATTACATGACAAGACATGAACATTCAGTGAGCTTGTAGGAGAACTTGTTTGGAAAAGTGGGGCTCAATCCAGCATTGGTTCTAAAAGCACAACATCCCATTGGTGTGTATCGACATCTGCCAGTAAATATGCACTTAAAGGAGTAGAGTAAAAAAAAAACTTTTACTGATAATTTACTCACCCCCATGTCATCCAAGATGTCCATGTCTTTCTTTCTTCAGTCGAAAAGAAATGAAGGTTTTTGATGAAAACATTCCAGGATTTTTCACCATATAATGGACTTCAATGGGAACCAAACGGTTCAAGGTCCAAATGAGAGTTTCAGTGCAAAAAGCAAACTGTTCAAAGGGCTTTAAACAATTCCAGATGATGAATAAGTGTCTTATCAAGCGAAACGGTCAGTCATTTCAAAAATAAAAAAAAGCAACAACCGAAACGAATTCGAAAAAAGATTTGTTAATTTTGATGAACGTGCATCTTAATTTCTGTTCGACTAAATAAAGAAAGACATGGAGATGTTGGATGACATGGGGGGTGAGTAAATTAACAGCAAAAGTTTTTTTTTGTTTTTTTAAAGTGAACTGCTCCTTTAAAGGGATAGTTCATCCAAAAATGAAAACTCGCCTTTAAGAATTAGTTTCTTCTCAGAACATGACATATTTGGCGAGTAATTTCCCCTCTATAACATGGAAGTCCTTTACCAAAATTCTTAACGTCTCCATTATGTTCCACAAAAGAGAGTCACACTCTGTAAAAACTGATCTTTTGAAGTTTAAATAAAGATTATTGGCATAATCTTTACACGAAAATACAACAGTATGCTACTTTGAAATTTCACATTTAATTCAATGCGTTACTTGTCATTGATTGGCAATTAATTATTTGTGAAATTTACTATTAATTTCTGAGTGAAGTAAAATTTCCATCAGTGTAGATTTTTGGAACAACAATAGGGTGAGTAAATGAATGCTGGGCGAACTATCTCTTTAAGTGTCTGCCAAACCCCATCTTCCCTCATAATCCCAGGAAATGATTTCAGTTGAACCAACTTGAACTGAGTAAGCTACTTTTCAGTAGAATTTGAATTTCTCATATTTGAATTTCCCGTTTTTATAAAGGTGACTTATATTTTCATTAGACTTTCTCTCTTAGACATTTAGATACATTTCAAATAAAATGTACCACGGAAAAATCCACTCGTACAAGAATACTCCTTGAGATTAAGGAACACTTACTGGCGACATGTAATATGGAGTTCCAACAAATGTTTTAGCAAAGCTTGTATCGTGGTTCAGTATCCGAGCTAAACCAAAATCGCCAAGCTTTACATTCTGTTTGACGTCCAGGAAGATGTTTGCAGGTTTCAGGTCACGGTGCAGGACTGTACTGCTGCCGTTACTTCGACTATGGCACTCTTTTAACGCCAGGGACAACTGTGCCATCACACGCAGGATGAATTCTTCTTGCAGGTATCGTCTGTAAAGAAAGTGTCAAATAAAAAGAAAAAAAAAACATTGCTGTAACACAGCTTGATCAGCAAATTAACCATTTACCTCTCTTTGATGCATCTGTTGATGAGGCTGGCGAGATCTCCACCCTCACAGTACTCCATCACTATATATAACGTTGTGTTCGTCCGGTCTATAATTCTGTCGTAGTATCGAACGATATTTGGGTGCTTCAGCTCACGGAGCAAATTGACCTCTGACACCAGCATCTGTTTCTCTGCCTCGGCCATGGTGCCATAGTCCAGCACCTTCCACACTAGAACCTAATGAGAATAGGTAACAAGGTCCAAAATTAGCTAGCTGGAAGAGACACCCCCCCCCCAAAAAAAAAAAAAAAATATATATATATATATATATATATATATATATATATATATATCGCACACTTCCCTAATTGTGTTAGGAGAAAAACAGTGCGTGGCAAAAGTAGCATGCCTAAATTTACAGAACTCATAGAAGAGTAAGCAAAAGCACCCTATTTCTGGTGAGATTTGGACAATTCACTATCCCATGAGGCTATGCGAGAGGATTTGTGACGGAACTGACGCTGGTAGGTCACATGGTAATGATATAACACAGCAAATGTAGTATGTCTGGATAACATTCATACTAGCAGTCACAAATTAATTATAACATTTACTTATTAAAATAAGTACAAACTCAAAGGAGAACGCAGCCTAGGTGTGAAACAATATACCCGCGTCACAATTCGGTTCGATACAGTGCACACAATACAACACTCACGATAAAACAAAAAAACACTAAAACGGAAAGGGGTTTTCCCCCATTATTATGATTATTTCTAAGACCCATTGATACGCAGTTTACAAAAAGTACAGTTCATTTTAAGTTACTCTTGCACTATGTCCATGAAAACATACATTTAAATAATAAACATGCATGATTAAATAAATGTTGTAAAAAAGATATTTTTTTATGTACTACTACTAATAATAATAATGAATAAACATGATATCTTAAATGTATAACCTTCTGTGATTACAATATTAAATCTGTAAAAACTTTGGGTGAAGTTAACTATATACAATAAATAGTGTTGCCTTTGTGCTATTAAATTAATCACATCTAACATGAAAGTTATATATACATGTCATGTGTGTGTGTGTGTGTGTGTATATATATATATATATATATAATAAACACAATGTGACTAATCTTTTTGACAGCACTAATTGTGATGTATTGTGACAATATATTGTTAAGTTACAACACCCCAAACTTTACTTAAACTTTTGAATTGGCTTTATGCACATCTGCGCTACTTCCTGAACTTCAGCCAGCTCCTTTTTTTACTGTCTGCCATTATTGGACAAACTGATTAATCCAGATGTGTCTGATTATTGTTGTGACTACTGAGGTCAGGCACACCTGGATTAATCAATTTGTCCAATAATGGCAGACAGGAAACAAAGTAGCTGGCTGAAGTTCAGGAAGTAGTGCAGCCTTGCATAAAAGATATTTATTTTTTAGCTAGTCACGTGCCTCAAGAATAATAGCAAACAAATGATGTTACACTTTTAACTATTATGAGCTGATATTTAGTAATGTAAATATTAAGGGCATTCATACACATAAAGTGTTGGTTAAATAACCCAATCCTTTCTGAGGGCTAACAATACTTTATTTTCTGACTTTGATTAGTTTCACGTGTCTTAAAAGCACACTAGAAAAAACACAAAACTGCTCATGCGATACAGTTCAGTCTGAACTTTATTCACCTTTCCATCTGATTTCCTTTTGACTTTCTGGCAATTCCCATAAGATCCACATCCTATGGTGAGCATCACCTCATAGTCTTCGGTTTTGGACGGCATCACAACACAACAGCCGCAGCAGGTCCAAACTTCAGACAAAAACAGCAGAGTTCGGTTATTTAAGTGCTAAAATGTAACAGAGCAGGATTCATTCAAACTATTCACTTACCGTAATTCACTCACTGCTGGTGTCTTGCAAAATTCGCGTATAGTTTTAGTTAGTTTTAGAAACGTTATCGTATCTTGTTTGTGTTGAGAAACAAAAAAAGACGAGGAAAAAACACGCAAGCTGATTTTCAAACGTGCGCACAAATTCTGGATTCTGATTGGCTGGACTTGAGAACTGGCGTTGATCTCATTGGTCCGTATGAGGACACAGCTTGCAGGTTGCCAAGTGCTGAAGAACCGCGAGAACGCCCGGGAACAGCGGGAGGATATTTCTTAAAGGCACAGGGTGGACACTGAACAGAATTTACAATTTTTAAAACGCAACTGTGATGTATAAAAGCCCATTTACGCCAAATAAGAGACAAAAATAATTATTTGGTAAACCTTGACGTACTAGTATTTACACAAGGATGCAATTTATGAAGTACTAAATTATAAATTGTGATATAAAAAGTCAAAAATTATGATACATTTTCAAATATAAGTCGACAATTTTCAGTTGTCCATGAGTTATTTATTTATTTATTTTTTTAAATTTGAAATTGACATTAAAAGTCAATGTCGAGTTTTTTGTCACAGACAGTCATTAAGGCCAGATTAGGATGTAGTTTAAAAATCGATCGTGCTCAATCACCACAGCTATAATGATAACGGCACAGAGAAAATATATCACTGGAATCACTTTCAGAAGTTATCAGAACGATTTTATCCATCCAGCTGATGAACGATAAAAACAATGACAGCCAATCAGAATCCATCTTGCTGTAACGAGTATGAACATTTAACTAGTAACGCAGTGTTAAACCCTGTTTGTGTCAAGCGAAGCATTAAAAAGCAGTGGTTAAATAACATATCGGAGATTAAAATAATATCAAATTTGTCTAATCTAAAATAAATATCAAAATTAGAGATGAAAAATTAACATAAGAAATTGCCTTTGGTCAATTATGGTTAAATAAATGTTCAGGGATATCGTCCAAAGATTTTTATAATATTGGCGCTATGTGTTGATGATATATGGCAGCTAGTAAATACACTAAAGTTTCGTCATGCTAGCATGTGTGGAAGTACTTAAAACAAGGGTGTTAAAACTAGCCCCGCTCTCCCCTTATCTTTTTATGTTGTCATTGTTTTATTTAACCTGGTTCAAGTTACACGATCTGCTTGACTTAAAAAAATAAAAAGAAAAGGCTAACGTTCCTCCTGAGGAGCGTAGCGTCTGCAGACTGACCTCTGCGCCCGCCACTTACTGGAGGGAGCTGCTGCACACTGACCGTTCCTCCGCCTGGGGGCAGCAGTGTGTCTCTCTCTCTCTCTGTGTGTGTGTGTGTGTGTTCATCGCGCTGCCCGGTGGGTGTGGCAGGACCAAGGTTCACATTAAGCCCCTTTTACTGTCTATGATAAAGCCCTGTTTCAGCCCTAAAGTTTCACTGGATGAGTTTATAGCCAGCGAGACAGAGAGAAGACAACATCAGATCCTTTGAATAGATCCATAAGTAAAGCTGTTATGAATTATGAGTCTCAGGTGAGCGGTGATACATCTGTGCGCTTCAAATGTGATCTTTAAATGCGAAAGGACAGACATGAACGTCTCATCCGGAAACTCCCTTTTGATTTCAACATGACCCTTCACACTTTACCCGTTGCTTTAGAAATGAACAATCACTTCCTTATTCATTTCACGTGTAATATTGAGCACATGGCCATAAGCTATTTAACCAGGCATCACTAGAATCATCCCAGTATTAAAGTGATGCATATCCTATATGAATATGAAGAGACGGATCTGACTGGTTATTGGCACACATAAAAACCCGTGAAAAATCCCGTTCATAAAGTAGTTAAGTCAGGATGTCAGTTTTGGTGGACACTTCCAAATGTATCTGTACAGCTCTAGTGTAGCCTAAACATCCATTTATTTCAAGAAAAGCACTTGGGGGTGAAAGGACAAAATGGAAAGTTCCCCTTATAGAAAGTCTTTTAATTTTCATTCATTATTGTCAATACCTTTGTGAGATTTCAAGTTTGCAGAAAGTTTAATATTTCTGCATGTTTAAGACTACTGCTTGCTTCAGTCAACCTCCATAAATCGAGTTTTCAATAAAACATTACCAGAAACATAACAATTAGATATGATTGTGAGCAATTGGCGCTTTCAATGAACAGGGCACAACATTTTAGGTCAGAATTGTACAACTAAAATAACGTTTTTCTACCTCAGGATGTAAAATTAAAATGCTTCAACTTTTAGGTTAATTTTTTTTAACAAGGTTTTTACAAAGTCTGAAAATACAATACCCTTATTTTCTAGCAATACACATTAAATAAGCAAATATGTATGAAATCCAAGCTAAATCTGAGGTCAAAGGCTCTAAACAAAATTGAAATTCTGCATTGTGCAGATTTTAAAATAAAAAAAATAACTGAATAGAATTCAACAGACTGCGACTATTGAATTGACTGCATTGTTGATGTGTCGGGCGAACTAGCTTCATGATATGTCAATGTTAACATTACCCTCAGTGGATGGGATTTGTCCTTTGTATTTGAAACAACTAGTTGTTAGAATTTGAGTTGTTTTAGATGGTTGGTCCCTGACAAATTTGTACTCATTACAATGACAAATACATATTCTATTATCTCAATTCTATTCTATGAATCTGTTCTGAACACAAAGTGCAATACACACAAGCAACATTTGTTATAACCCCTAATTTGATGTAATTAATGATCCACGTTTTACTGAGCATGTTATTGTGAAGATCGACATTGACTGGTCAGAAGAGATGCGACTCTGCTGAACGCCTCAGATCAATAACACTCAGAGAAGAGCCCGTGTTTCACTGCTGCGCATGATTTTTATTCCAGCACAATTCATTTGTGTGTTGTAAAATGGCTGGGTAGCTAAGAAGAGAAAAACAGGAGTACAAAATGAAAATTATGGACCATTCTATTGTAATTTGGTTAGATCGCTAATATATAGAGAGATATCACACTTTTCTTTTTTTAAACATAAAACCATACAAAGTTACGTCTCCACCTGACGAAACGAGAAACCCCCAGACTGTGTGTGGGATCCTCGCGGGGTGACGTAAGCCTGCTCTGAATGCAGTCCGCATCAAACTTGGCTTTAGTCTTCTGGCTTCATACACATTTCAATCTGGCAAGCTATAGAAACAAAGTTCACTTTCACAGACGACATGGCTTCGGGTTAAGAGGGGCTGGGGATGACAGTTACGGTGCAATGTTTTCATCTACAAATGTCTAATTTGTACATCTAAGCATCGTTTTCTTTAAAACGCCACAACATGGGCATTTATTTTTGAGTACATTATTGCTGGACCTCACCCATATTCCATTGACACGTAGACAGACTCAAGCATGGCATTCCTCCCCATCGACACACACACACACACACACACACACACACAATTTCACACATGAAAAATGCAATTCTGTCTCAAGCTCGAGGAAAATGTTTCCAGTCTTCTCAAGATAGTCTAAAGCTAGTCTAAAATCTTTGCTGAATCTACGCCTCTCTGATCCCTTCTGTGTGGCAGCAGTTTTAAGACGGTTTCTTTTTGATGAGCAGAACGCGATCAACGGATGGCAGACGAGATGACGCTCAGATACTGAGAGCAAATGTAAAGCACCTGCCGGGACAGAAGCTCCTTTAACTGCCTTTCCCTCCAACATTCATGATATTTCAGAAGTAAAAACACAGAAAGCGACTCGGGCCGTTACAACTTGTTTTCAACTCCTTTCTGTACAAGATGAACCACAGAATGAGGGGGAAAAGGAACTATTAAACAGATATTTGCCAACACTCTGATATAACATGAAGCTACCAGGCATTATGTGCATCTAAAAAAAAAATTTGTAAAAAAACAAAAACAAAAAAAAAAACGGGCAGTCGCACACAATCACACAGGCAGGTTATGCTGTCACATTTACAGAAATGAGACCAATTGACTCAAAAAAAAAACAACAACAACAACAAATTAAAATCTTTTTTTTTTTTGGGACAATGAACAAACACAACAGTTCAGTCAGTAGAATGTCCGCCCCCGTTTGACCCTAAGATAAGCATATGGCTTAGTATTTGTAAAACGTTGGAGGGGAGGGGTATTAGTCCAATCGAATCGGTCGTGTGGCAGTCATGTGGTGCGCTTAGATGTGTCTGTATGGCGTTGATTGTGTAAAAGTCCCATAGAGGATGCAGTCTCCTTGTTTTATAGGTTCTAAAACAAGCGGTTTCGTCTTCGACGCGTTTTCCGAGACCGAATCCCCCTTTTGCCAGTGTAAACAGCACAATCGTTCCACCGTCAATACTGACAATACACATAGAAAAACGGCATCCAGTCAACATGAGACGAAACGAGGAAGAAGAAATCCGTCGGGGGAGGGGGGGGCGACGAGGATTCATAGTGCAATGAAGGCCAGAGGAGGCTCTTCCAAAGAGGACAGCAGTCTCTGAAAACTAATTTCAGTCATCCTGTTTGGGAGTTCACGATAAAAAGGGGGTGGAGCTCACATGGCAGGAAATGAGCGAAATGAGAGGACGTGACGGATCTATCTCTGGCTTATTCCTGAGCCTAATTTTGATTGTAAAAACAAAGAAAAACAAAACAAAACAATGAGGCGTGTCCACATGTGCATGAGTAAACAATTAGATGTGCATAATCTTCTCTCTGCATGTGAGCGCACATGTGTAAACATGTCAAACTGGTTTCTACGCAACTCTAAAAGGATAGACGCATGGGCGGCAGGGACTGGGTGGATGTGACTAAGGATGGGGACCGCGATCGGATACAGCAACTGGAGTCGTCCTGCGGGGTACATTCAACCATCCGGCAGAGGAGAATGGCATTCGGGGCTCTTTGTCTCCTCCCGACCTGCGCGCTTCGCTCTCCTCAGAGCGGTCAGAAGAACCAGCAGTAGATGTGATGTAGAATGCTGTACCACATGTAGCCCGAGGCGAAGGCAAACGTTTGGACTAAAAACAGCCAGGAGTTGTCGAGGGTCATGTTTCGGGAGAGCAATTCTTTTTGGCCGTCTGGTGGAGGGAAAGCTCCTGCGAGACGAAAGAAATGAAGGGTTTTAGTTGAAGGAAGTATATATATTATATAAAAAACACACATCTAGATCTGGCGAAACTAAATTCGATCTACCTGTCTTGTAGAAGTGAGCCAGAAGTTCCTCCTTTTCCACAAATCGCTGATATAGCCAGTCTGCCAGTGCTTCTGACTCTAGCGGGACGTCCTTTATAGGGTATGTCCTAAAAAAAAAAAAAAATGACAATTAAGAATTCATTATACAGGACTGAAATGGTTCAAAAACAAATGAAAACTGACCATTCAGGTCCATGCTGACAACTGGTCAATACAGCACATCTCAACATAAAACGATACATGTTAATAAATAACAATTAATTAATAATAAATCATAATAATTTAGTCTGAATCTCAAAAATGTAATGAAAATATTAATTAAAATGTAAAACTAATAATAAAAATATTAATATTGTTGTTTTAGATGAATTTTCTACTATTATTAATTCAATTTATTTGTATCGATTAATAATAATAATAATTTAGACTGCATTACAAATATCAATATTGTGGTTTGAGATTGTACTATATTTGCTATTATTAATAAATTATAATAATAAAGCCTTCATAATACTAATGTAAAATAAACTAACAGTTTACACATAATTTAATTAATTTAATATTAACAATAAATACTAATATTGCTGTTTTATATTGTATAATACTACATTAATCTTCCACAATTATTATTATCATCATTTAGGGACTACATATTTTTTTGCTCCCTATTACAAGATGACATTTGTTTATAGTAATGGAACATTAATAATTATTACAGTGAAGAACGTTAGAAAATGTCTTACTCAACAAAGTATGTGTACTTTTATTGCTGAATTAAAATGATGAGGAATTAAAATCTCCATGTATTCCGTGTTGCAAGTTTACTTGACCTCATACACAGATTTGAATATATTTTAGCCATGAAATTTGTAGTCTGAATCACAGCTCGTTTGTACGTTTGGATGCATAATTTGTGAATAATAATAATAAATTAGTTCTGACATGTTGAGTCTCTGTGCTTTTCAATTTTGCACTCCTGACCCAAACTTTTCCTGTTAGTCCATTATTTTTAAAAAGGGCAAAATGTGATGGGCTGAGAGTGAAGTTAGCAGGTTGAGTGCGCACACACACATAGACAGACAGAGATAAAGGGAGAGGTGCCGACTAAATGAGTAAAGTATAAAAAGCATTATACAAATTCTGAAAATTAAATTTGCAATAATGAACTCGTTTAGGGAGGCAATGAAGACATCTTAAGGGAGAAAATCTAACGAGCACGGAGCCCCATCTCAGTCTTCTTCAGATCTCCCAGCGTTAGCATGTGAAGTGGAGAGCTCAGCTCTTTGCGCTTCTGACAGGTCCAGCGTTTGTGCTGATGAGACGCTTCAACTAATGACAGCAGTTTTCTGCTGAAACACGGACAGCTGAGACGTAAAAACACACCACTGACTGCAAACGTGCACTAAATGTACACACCTCTTACAAAAAACAAACGCTACAGAGAGGATGTGACTGATTCGCAATAACAACACTGACCAGCTTCTGCTTCTCTCTCCGTTTCAGTAACCGTCAACTTCCCTAAATGACGGCATCAGTAAATAATTAAACAAATTCAGATGAGAATCTACATTAGGCTATGATACCATCACTACTCAGACCCTGTAAATCCAAACCACTTTTATTTTTTTTAACTGTTTCCTTGATTAACAGCATTATTTTGGTTGCTTATCAAAAGGACATTAAAGTGAGTTAAAATGATTTTATTATTAGAGAAGAAAGATTTTTTGAAACTAGTACAAATGTAGGAAAATACAGAATATTATTTAAAACCGACACTGCAGAATGGTACGACTGCCCAGTCATACATTACATCTACGGTTTCTAAAATAAGGGCACACCTCAAAAGGAAAATATATACACTCACCTAAAGGATTATTAGGAACACCACACTCATACTGTGTTTGACCCCCTTTCGCCTTCAGAACTGCCATAATTCTACGTGGCATTGATTCAACAAGGTGCTGAAAGCATTCTTTAGAAATGTTGGCCCATATTGATAGGATAGCATCTTGCAGATGATGGAGATTTGTGGGATGCACATCCAGGGCACGAAGCTCCCGTTCCACCACATCCCAAAGATACTCTATTGGGTTGAGATCTGGTGACTGTGGGGGCCATTTTAGTACAGTGAATTTATTGTCATGTTCAAGAAACCAATTTGAAATGATTCGAGATGGTGCATTATCCTGCTGGAAGTAGCCATCAGAGGATGGGTACATGGTGGCCATAAAGGGATGGACATGGTCAGAAACAATGCTCAGGTAGGCCGTGGCATTTAAACAATGCCCAATTGGCACTAAGGGGCCTAAAGTGTGCCAAGAAAACATCCCCCACACCATTACACCACCACCACCAGCCTGCACAGTGGTAACAAGGCATGATGGATCCATGTTCCCATTCTGTTTACGCCAAATTCTTTTTGGTCGGGAAGTTCGGTCTGGACTCGATCCATTGAGGAGTAATTATGATCAGGCAAGAAATGAACGGGCCAATCAAATTGCCAGGGCGGGCTTTATGCGATGATGGACAGATGATCTGCAAGAACGTAATCATCACGTTATCAAAGAGCGCTTAACTGGTTTCCCTCAGAGATGACTGCAGCTGGAGAATTGAGATGTACAGATTCAGCTGTCTGTTGTAAAATAAATCGACAGCGCATTAATTTTAATAGACAAACAGAGAACTGCAATCAAGGCATTTGTCGATCGGAAAGATATTTTTGGCGTCCTTCCAACATGATTCGGGAAAAGTGTAACTTATCAGCTGGCTCTGACGATCGCTAAGAAGATGGGACGTAATGAAAAGCCTGTGGTCGTTGTGGTTTCTCCTTTGGTCGCACTCATGGAGAAGTATTTGACTGACTGAATTGTTTCTTGATGTTATTTAAGCTTTACTGTATATCTTTTTGTAACCTTTACTTATACTTTTATAATGGCTATTATTGATAAAACTGAAATAAGAGATAGTTTCGTCATTTTTTTATTTTATTACAAGATCATCTGTAATGTTGTTTACTGCAACATTTGTACCAATGCGATATCCTATGCAATACATTACATATTGCCTGGAATATGTTTAATATTTTTAAATTTAAACGAAAAGAGGCAGGGTTGTTTTATATTTAGTTTTGTTATAAATATAATAGGCTACATGCAGTGAATATAATCAATAGGCTATGCGTTGCCTGAACCACATTTGTGTGCTTTAGAATGTTTAAAATGTATTGAAATGAAATCGAAAAGAAGCAGAGTGGTGTTTAACATATTTCGTTTAATTGTTACCTAAAATGAACATACAGAGATAACCGGAGTCGCAGAGCCAGAGCGAGCTGAGTGCCGCTTTCAAGAACGCGCTGTTCCATTAACAGAATTACTGGACTCGCGTCCTAGGGATCATTCTCCTGAGTCGGACTTTGCGTTGGCTTCTTGGAAACGGCTAATGCCAGCGCTTGTTTCTAGTGACAAACATGCCGAGAAGCAAGAACAAGATCTGCTGTCTGTCATCCATTGTTGTTGTTTACTATGTCGAAAATGACGTCGATCGCTTCTTTCCAGCATACCACGCCTATCAAGGAAGGGTACTGTTGGCGGTGGAAACGCAAGCCTGATCATGGTGTACCCGACCTGTACTGTACCGTACCGTACCCCGATGCAAGTGTGTTGTGAAAGACACCCTCCATGCAAGAAACATGCAAGTTTCACAATGCGATTTCCCATCACCCCGCTTCACAACGTGCTGATGTTTACGTTAAGCGAACGCACATTTGACAGTTGGGAAGAACTGATGGTTTATAGTTTGAAAAGCTTCAAATATTAGCACTCACACAAAACTATTGTTTGTGCTCATCTAAAGAAAGTCATAAATCTAGATTATTATGAGAATAAGTAAATGACGAAAGGTTGGGGAACCATGATCTTTTTTTTTTCAGGAATCATTGAATACTAAGTTTAAACTGGGGTGGTGATGGCGCAGTGGATAAGACACATGCCTTTGGTGTGAGAGACCCCGGGTTCGAATCCACTGTGAGACACCAATGTGTCCCTGAGCAAGACACTTAACCCCTAGTTGCTCCAGAGGCGTGCAACCTCTGACATTTATAGCAATTTTTAGTCGCTTCGGATAAAAGCGTCAGCTAAATGAATAAATGTAAATGTACAGTGATCAGCTGATGAATAAACTAGACTAAATGTAATATTTTAAATGATCGAAAATCAATGCAATTCAACTTCTATTACTATTACTCTATATTTCTATGATACTGAAAAAGACAATACAAACAGGACTCCGTTGTTATATAGGACAACACATTGTGTTTGTTCTAATTATTGTTTTCTGAATCTCTGGTACCACGAAAAATAATGTAGAAACAGACAAAGCTGTTTAACATAGGCTATTCTTCAAACATCACATATACTGTACATCCATCTATACATCTATAGCTTATCTTTCTTGTGACTTGTTTATCTCAATATACCACACACAAATCAATAGGTGTGGAGTAACAAGATCCTTTGGGACAAATTCCAGAAAATAACACAAGAGCACCGGAAACACAAGTCACCAGATAGCCAGAACCACCCGTAGGTCAGATCAGTGCATCACATTTTCCCCACTAGAAGAACATATAGCTCCAGAAAGACCAGTTTGGCACGTGCCATTACTGATGCATCCTACTAGCTTGTGTGTTCAGCTAATGGTTGAATAAGGCAGGATATACAAGCCAAATCCAGTCGTCACTTTACTTAATGCTTAATCCTGTTCTGTACACAAACAGTTCAGTCATTTACTGGAGCGACAAGCACATTCTACAACCAAATTAACTCCCGAATAATGCAGGTAGTGGCAACCGCATTTACAAAAATTAAATGAACTGAGCTGAATGACTAGTTGCTAAAGATGTATTTAAACGCATCAGAGATGTGTCTCTCTTCTGTGTGCAAGAATACAACAGGGAAACTGGTACGAGTCTTGACTCATTATAGTTTAAATGTTGAGAGGGCAGGTCAAAAATTTGAACTACCCACAGTAATAAAAGTATTTATGATTGAAAAAAAAACAAATAGTCATGTTAAACAGTATACCAAGGTACCTCATGAAAATACGTATTGCACCGGAAAAAAAGGACCTAACCATTATTTCCAAGACAGTTCATGTAATCACACACTATGACGATAATGTGTTGCGGATTGCGTTACGTTCCCTTGAGGCTCCGCAAGTATTGCTTCAAATGGAGCATCTCCCCAAACCAATTAAACCTCTCTGTCTCTCAGAGATTTGTTAGAGGGGAATTTCAATGACTTTGAAGCACATGCGCTTTTCTCTGTGGTTACTGAGTTACTGCACAACTGTGTAATAATCAGTCCCTCCAGGATTTCACGATTTTTTTTTGTGATTTTTGCGATCAAAATGACTGATTTTGTGGTGGCAATTTCCAAAAATTTGTGAAAAAATGTGCGATTTATATATAACATTTACCATAATAGTATTCAGTCCTTCCAGAAAAACGCGGAGTTTTTTTGTGATTGTTGCGGGCAAAAATTGATTGATTACATGGCCCGTTTTCTTTAAAAATGCGATGGAATATACATTTATATTTATGCAATTTTATGCGATGAAATTGCAGGAATTTGCAAAAATTGAGGGAACTTGCAAAAATTGCGGTTTGATGAAAAAGAGAAAAAAAGTGATTCCCCCAACATCCTGTTCTCACTAGGCTAATGTAAGAGTCATTTCTTATTACTTCCTTTGATAAGCAAGCATACTACATCATAGAAAGTGCTGGGAATATTTAATTTCTCATCTTGTTTTATTTCAGACTGTAACGAGTGTAAATAAGGTGTGGCCCCTTTAAGAGCTGCGCGCTCCCTGTTGAACTCTCTGCAGTGTTATATGTGCGCCTCGAACAACCCATGTGTGCGGGTAATTTCTGTTTGATGCTACTTCTTTTATCTTATGTTGTTTATTAAGTAACGACGTGACGGTAGAACGTGTGACAGACAGTTAAACGAGTTAGATTTGTGAGATGTCAATCACCTCCGTGAGTCTGTCTGGCGTCGCGTAATTGCGTCACTTCATAACGTTCCCATGGAAACAGGGGGAAATGGCTGCTCTTGTGTGAAGCAAACGCAACATTTTTCAACTTTCTGCAAAGATACATGTGACTTTTTTGCAACGAAAATGCGAGGATTATGAAATTATGCAAACCCCGCATATTTTGCACGGAAATCGGCAATTTATGCGGCGAAAGTGCGGTGTATTTGAAAAAATGCGGCCCCTTTGGCTGATTTTGCATTGAATTCAGCGATCGCATAATCGCGTTTTTCTGGAGGGACTGAATAATAGTAGGCATAAATTCTGTTCACACAGTCTATCCAAGTGTTGATAATAATAATAATTTTAAGACAAACGTGACACAAAAAAGTTGGTTTTAACAAACAATATCCAAGGCAAACATTACCCATACTTATAAATAGAGTTTTTCACACTGCGGTGCCAAACTTGTACAGTGTGAAAAGATGCGGCGTTAAGCGGATTCGCATATAGCGCCTAAAACGCGTAGAAAACGCTGGGCGCGCCGCATTATCCTTTTTCCAAAGCGCTATGGCGGTAGCGCTCTAGTTGGTTCTTGTCACATGACCTAATGTGCGTTTAAGGCATTCTGAAAAGTTGAGATGTTTTTAATCGATGCGCTTGGAAAAAACGAGCGCGTCGCAACGCGACCGTGTCGCTTCCATTATGAGTGTGCATACCGCGCCTACATTTGAAATAACGAACTTGAATATGCGAGTAGCCCTTAGAATGTTAGAAGCTTAGCAACAGAAAACCAATCGCGTACATATTTGCGTGCTTTAGACAGTCAAGGAAACACTTTGCATTGTTTATAAAAAGTAAATTCAGCATTTGAAAGGAAAAAAGACAAAAGCTGATAGAAAATGCGACAATTTGAGTGAAGAGACTGTTTCATTCTTACCTTTATAGTCCGAAATGTCCATTCAGTATAAACTCGATAGTACAGTCCGCAATACGAGGATGCGTAACGCTAGAGCTTTAATGTAGGTTGTGTGCTGCGTTGATCCAATCAAAGACACTTACACCACGAATATGAATGTTAACCCTGGATAAATTATGATGGTGATAAACCACTTTAGATTGAACACGTAATACGCATGTGCATGACGTCATCATCATCAGCGATTCGTGTTTTTGTCATTTACACAGAAACCCGTTTTCAAAAGTTTGCGTCTTCAGGCACCAAAATGCCGTTGTCGTGTAAACGAACGGTCAAAGCACATACGTAAGCAATGCGTCTGCGAGCGTCTTTGATGTGTTGTTGGCTCTTTCATACTAACAGATTGGCGTGCGTTCATCGCCCACTAATTCCTCGCGACTTGCATGCGCCGAGCTCAACGATTTGCAAATCGGGCTTAAAATCATGTAGTGTGAACTAGGCTTAAGAGTGGTTGCTAGGGGTGTTGTGTGAACTGTTGGGTGACACGGCTATAGCCCTGTTTTATCGTCAATAAAACTCAGTTAACCGTGTCGATGGAAAAGGGGTATCGGAGCATGAGACCGTAGTCTACGTTTTTGCTGAAATTTGACATAATTCTATATGCAGGAAAAACTGTATCTTCAGCAGGGAGTTCTTTATTGAAACACAAGCTCTTGGTAGCTGCGGTCATCAAGTCCAACTAAGGAAATTATACATCGCAGTTTATATAGATTTTAGGAGACAGTGCTCAGAAGTGGAGACAAAGCATCTGACCTGGGCAACGACCTTAGAGAAAACATGCAAATTACGTATCCAGTTATAGGAACCAGCCCCAGACTCTAGATTGTTACCAGTATTAATCCAATAAGTATAATTATTCAAAGAAGGGGACAGGAGTTCCAAGAGCCATTAAAGACAAAGGGTGAGATTCTCAGTAATCTGACTCATTTGATTTACAATTAAGGGTTAGGACTGGAAGAGGACTGGCAGGAACCTCTTGCTAAAATCGTTGCTTAACCGAATCATCCCTCTGTATTTAGCATTTAAGGTAAAGATGATGACAAAGTACTTCCTCTTAGTTTTTCATGTGATGTTAAGCAAAACATAGGATCAGTAGATCTTAAACCGATTCTTAAATTTATAATCCCAGTTACCAAGATAAAGAGTGGTCTGTTCAAGGGTTATCAGGCTAATGGTACTACTCCTTTCATTGTGTAGAACGAACTTTAGTCATTTTTTAACTGAACAGTCAAATGTCAGTGTGTTCACACATGCATTCGACACAGATTATATTTAACATCGTGTTCCACTTTGTCCCAACCAGGCATGATGTTTCCAAGTAATTTAGCTGTCAACAATGAAAGCAAAAGTGTTGCACAACCACCACAATTACAGCCACTCAGAACATATTTAAGGTTTGGAATCCAGCAAAGTGTCAGGGAGATTTTGGACCTTTGAGACCGTTTATCGCCATATACGTTTAAAGAATATTATCTTATATTTCTTACCTGTAGTGTACATGTGTGACTGTTGGATCTCTGTAACCAAAAATCCATGTCTGAATGTCCATGGGTCTTGCATTAGGGTAGGCTATGGTCATGTCTATTACCCACTGTAGTCCTTTAGCTTTGGTAGCTGAAGGTGGGGAAAAAAAGAGACAATTCACATCAAGAAGGAAATTAAAAAGCATTTACTTTTCCCATCCAAACACAACTGCAGAATTTCAGTCTGACTTACAAAAAACCCCTCATTTGGCTTCAGAAGGCTTTTAAATGGAAAATAATAATTTGTTTAATGGAAAATACTGCAATACATTTTTTGTGTTCAACAGAACAATGAAAGTCATATGAGATTGTAATGACATATGGGTGAAAAAAAAATAATTTGGGTTGGTACTATTCGAGAGGCTACCAGCACAGAGCTTAACAGGTTTGATAGTCATTGTACCAAATCACAATCCCACCATATCACAATTGTGTTTAAGCAAGCACCTCAAGGTTATTACAATTAGGGCTGCAACGATTAGTCGACAACGTCGACAATAAGAAATTGTCGACAAATATCTTTGTTGTAGAGTAGTCGTTTGATCTCACGTGACCTAATATAAGGGCGTGCAATATCGCGATTTGACCGCTACGGTGCTTTGGCGCTAGAGTGCAATGCAGCCCTACAAATGCAAGTGCGGTAAAAGAAAAAAACAGAGTGCAAACGAATCCGAACTAGCAAGGATTGGAAAAGTTTTACAAAACTTAAAACCAACAATGCTGTCATGTGCAATACATGCAAGGCAGACCTTGCTTTTCACAGGAGCACCACATGCATGTTGGAGCACTTAAAGAGGAAACATCCTGGCAAAAGAGGAGCCGTGAGAGTTCTCTGAACGCATCTCTTTTATATCATGCAATACTATTAATAGTAATAATATCATCAATAATAATATAATTACAGTAATGTGATGATTTATTTTGCATAGATAGCACTATGTTATATCATGATTGTAAATGGTTTTAAATAGATTGCGTAGCCTTAAAAAAAACAGTTTAATAATGTGGCTCATGGGTTCAAGTCTGTATATGCGCCACTTCCGGTATTGTGGCAGTAACTCGACACAGGTAAATTGCAATCGAGGATTTCTTTTTTAGATCGAGTACTCGACTTTAATCGAGGAATCGTTACAACCGTAGAATGAACACAATCATATTAAGTGGCGTTGTCATACCAGCCATTAGAATCTGCTTATTTAGTGTGAAATGTACGAGAATTGGGGAAAATCTGATACAATGTGACATTCCACTATAACTGCTGCATTTACATAATGTCATCAATTACGCCAATGTGTCATTTTGGCCCTAACAGGTTGGCCCATAATACAGATGACAAATGACAAACTGATATTTGGTAATTTATACTCAGGTCATGGGGAATATAGTGGAAGAGCCATATCCACTTAACTTTAAAATGAATAAAATAAGGTTATGGATAAGATATTGTGTTTCTTACTTTGAACTGGTGGACTTCCTTCTGTTCCCAAGATGCCGTTTTCCTGCTGGGGTCCTAAGGTCTTCAGGATAATCTGTGTGGCCCCCAGCCGTGGCAGTGTTACGTGAGTCAAGTAGGGCAAGTCATTCTTTTTGGCAAAGGATTGGCTTGTCTCTCGTCTCTTTCTCAGGAAACCGCCCTCAGGAAACAGCACAATCCACTTCCTGTCTCTGCTGTAGTAATACTTGTCTAGGTGATCCTTCAGGTAAATTAGCTGCTTTTCTCGATATGCTTTGCCCTGTTGGTAATACACAAGACTTGTCAATTTTGACTAAATTTCCCCGTGCACTAACAGCCATTTAGTTTGTTAGCCCCACTACTTCAACAAATGTATAGAGAGTGCAGACAAAAGACCTAGCTAGGGTTGTCAGATATTGATAGACAACAGTGTTAATAAAGGAACCGTATTCAAATGCAGTTGAATCAGAAACTGCTACGATTGACAGTGATAACCAACAGACAAGTCAAAACGGTAAAACATTTTTTTCTAAAGTACCTAATTCAACAGTTTTTGCTGTGGTGCTGAATTTGGTACAGAGAGCCGCACATTTTTTCTGGTATTGGTAAAGACTACTAAAAATTTGGTACCATGACAACCCTAGAACCAACTAGGGTTATTTTATCGATTAGTCGACAAATCTAACGACTAATTGGACGACTAATTTAAAGAATATTTTTCTGCTGCTCAATTAATAAAAAAAACAAATGGATCTCAAATAAATACTAGCATACTGAATCATGATACTATAAGCTGGCTAACGTTAGTCTAATGTTAGGTATTTGAACACCGTCATTACAACTACAATCGCCAAAAACGTGTTATTGAAATATTTTTTGCAAACATTTAGCAACATAGAGAATGTTTAAATACTAATATCAGCTGAGGAGGGAAACGGAGGCGGAGTGAGTGGTGCTATCAGAGGCTGCTGCTGCTGCTGGAGATGATTCGGGTGAGGTCTGTGCACCTTAGCCATTGCACACCGAGTCCGAAATTCGCATCCGAAATTTTCGCACGTTAAAAAAAAAGTTCGACCTAACGTTATGTCAGTCACGCTTGCACACCGCCTCCGAAACTTTAGTCCGTCATAAAATTAATCGGATCGGGTTTGATTTTCTGCGTTTTTCGCATCCAGAGCCAGCATTTTGAGAGGTCTTTTGACAATTCAGAGCCGGGGGGAGCAGGTTTGGTGGTCAGATTCAGACTCAATGCAGAGCAGAGGGCACAGATATGATAGCAAATAAATAACGTCAGCGGCCATGGCACTGAATGAGCAATTGTTTTTATAGTTCAAAAGGCCAAACAGTTCAAGTTATTATGCGAGTTAACTTGAGTCAGAATGTACATGAGCAAAGTTGAATTTGTCATCCATCACCGTGACATCAAGTGGACTTTTAAAGCTGAAATAATGAGTGGATAAAGCTTGGAATAACGAGAGAAATAACATGGATAGAAATTTCTTGTCGGTGGATTGTAATGCATCACAGTCAGTCAGGTAACATTACAAGGAAGTTAGATAACAGCTACTAAAATTAGGACAAAAAGTAAAAAAAAGACAAAAAAAAATATATTTTTCTCAACTTGTGTGAAATAATATGTGACAATCTGTTCCAGTCGGGATTGTGTCTTCCAGTTTTCAAATAATAGACGGGTCCAGGTTGGGTCCGGGCAGTACATTTATGGCATTTCTCGGATCTGCACGGGTCCGAGTCCAACTTTTGAAATAATAGACGGGTCTGGGTCGGTTCGGTGTAGCACTTTACGGGTCTCTTCCAGTACGGGGATGAACGACTTCAAGCCGAATCTATCCGAGCTTGTACGTCTCACCACACCGGCACCCAGTTTGCGCTCTAAATTGTCTACATTTTTTTTTTTGTTAAGGGTTTACTGTATGCGATTCATTTAATAAAAAGCACTTCTAGTTGTCTTCGTCCTCTATTCTGCAATGGTTCGGTCTCCCACATATGTGTGTGTGTGGCAAGCTGTACTGCAAGGAACATGCAAAAAATAAATAAAATGAAGTGTCGACGCAAAAATATGACATCAACGTGATTTCGACGCACCGCTACAGCACTAATATCAACTTTATCCATGTCCATTTATGCTACAAAACATCCATATTAACTTTTAAGGGAACAGGTCTTACCTGCCTGATGAAGAAATCCCCATGAATCAGGGACACAACCCCAAAATTTGTATACTTAAAAACATGGTCCATCAACCACATCATCTTTCGTACAACCTAGATAAGAACATTATAATTAGTTTTGCTGCCTGATTAAAATCTGGAACATTTTCATTGCGACAAACTTTAAATATAAGGTTTGAGCAGAACAGTACCTAGGCCTAAAGCGAAGTCTGCTTACCGTGCCCTTGTCCTGCAAGCACATCATTAGGGTGCACACGTCTCCTGTGGCTTGGTGGTTGACTATGACCATGGCTTCATCTTCAGTCATTGGTCTCACATCATCACCCCATTCTGTCACTAAAAATACCACACAAAAAAAAAAAAAAAACAGACACATTACTCAGATTGTTACTGAAAAAGAATATCTAAAATATTCATACACGGTATTGATATGCACAAACTAATCAAAGGTTTGTGGTCAGTTCGATTTTTTATTTATTTTTTTGTTAATGTTTTGAAACAAGTCTTTTATACTCGCCAATAGAGTAGCACTATTAATCATTAAATGATCTTGATGTAAACACCCACAATCTCATTTCTAAATGCCAGTGATTTGGCTATATCTATTATTAAACCTTTGACAAAAATCACATCGAAACATATAAAACATTTAAATCTGAGTTTGTGCTGCAGCAGACCCAGAGAAAACGGTTAAGGCTATCTATGGAAACAGCTTCACAAACACTAACGTATTATTTACATGTCACAAATATTGACATCACTGGAGTACTGGGATGTTTATAGTTCGGATATAAACACTGATGTCTACGGAAAGGATCAGAATGGAGTAAATCGTGGTTTAATTATCATCCATGTTGAAAACAGTTGTGCTGCTTAATATTTTTATGGAAATAGTGATAGTTTTTCCAGGATTCTTTGAGCAAAAATTCAAAAGAACAGAATTCACTTAAAATTAGTAAAAAAAAAAAAAAAAACATGTGCTGACAAAAAAAAAAAAACTTGTATTGACCACCCCAAACTTGTTTACAAATTATATAAAATATATATTTTAATTTTCACATTTATTTATTTATATTATTTAATCATATGTACAATAAACTTTAATTTAAAAAATGTGTTTATTGTAGCGTATAATAGCCTATAAATCCCAAAAAATAAGCAAACGTCACATTATAAAAGGAAAGCTATAAGTTAATGAAGACACAAGATGCACTTTGTCAATGTGTTCCTCTCCTCCACTACAGTTTTGTACTATGCCCTCAGCGGCGGGTTTAAAACAACCCTAAGAAGAGCAGGAAACCCAGCGGATCTCTCTGAGAGGTCACGCTGAGTCTTGGCACGGCTGACACTCTCTATATCAAAGATCACACACAAAATAAGTCATTACAGCGGCTCCACCGTATCAAGCTCAGGGGTTGAGGACACCTGACACGACAAGTTACGGGGCACCCATGTTTGCATAAAAGATACAACCAGACCTTCTATCAACACATAAAGAGTATTTACTTACAGAGCTCGGGACATGCAGGCTGGTACTATTTCACACAGGGACATTGTGCATCACAAAACACTTCTAAGAATGATTTCACACACTGTCTACAAGGAAACCAGATACCAAAAAAAAAGAAAAAGAAAAAAAAAACACTACATTTTTTCTGTTTTTAAATTGCTTTTGATTTTCACAGATGACTGATTTGAGCCGTGTTTTGACCAAGCGGGAACATAATCTGAAAGCCTACCCGGAAGTGCGAAAAACTGCAATACATCGAAAATCCGCTACAGACAGGGTTCCCAAAAGGGAGCAAATCTAAAATGTCCGTTTTCACAGCATAAATGCATGTTTTTACAGGTTGGTCCCATGGACTTTTATTGTATTTTTCGATAGGTTCCGAGTGCCTGACAACTGTGAGGCGGGTGATTTTTTTTCTAACTCCTTAAGTTTAGAATTTAAGTATTTAAATGCGTTTGCTTTTAACCACAAGGGCGTGGTTAACTTTGATTGAAAGCTTGATTAACCGCTGATAACGGGCTGCGCAGAGTGTAATTCCTGAAATTTGATGTCTCGGCCATGATCTGACAACACGCCTCTGGTACCCTTTCTGAACATTTGTATTGAAATATCATACATAACATGGGTTGCTAAACTGCACCAACCGACACTGTAGGAGGACTTCGCTCCATTTTTTCCCATAAGTGACATTCCACTACTATTTCAAGTAGTTAGCACTATTTGTTTGTGGGCAGTAGCACTGCAAAAGTTAGCATTAAATCGCCTCAGATAAGTTAACGTCCGAGGTAACGTTAGGGGACAGGTGGGGTTTTGGTGGGCTAATACAATGCTAAATCATAAATCAGATGAACAATAACATACTGATGTCCAGCAATCGATTTAAATAGTACAATATGTTTAATTTGTCCTTTAATGAGATCTTATATGTCGTTGTTGAAGAGAATTTTCACGTGAAGAAATGCATAAATCTGACAATTACATACAATTACAACTGCTTGGCTGAAGAGGCGGGTCCACCGGCCAGCTCAGTCTCAGACAAAGCCCGCCCTTTTACCCATATATGGATTGCCCAGAAAGTGGGTGGGATTAGGATTTCACAGGATTTTCAAAAGATGGCGCCGACCCAGACCCCCCCTAAACGGCCTCAAAACCGTTATCAGGGCTTATATAATTGTAGTGATATTATTTATAATAATTATATTTTGTGAATTTTTAATTGTTTTGTTTTTAGTGTTATAGACCATTTTGCAAGATGTAAACAACACTGGTCCACAAACACTTCCTGTTTCGGTTTGTAACCGTTTTCTTTCACATGTAAAGAAAACATCTTAAAGATGTTTGTTTAACTTTTTGATTCAGTTTTATATGTTCTGTTGGTTGTATTTTATCCCAGCTTTTATGTAGTGTTAAAAAAACTGAAACACGAAGTGCTTCTGGACCAGTGTTGTTTACATCTTGCAAAATGGTCTATTAGTGAAACAAAAATAGGCACACAATGCTCCCAAAAATATTTACTTCTTTTTTATAGAAAAAAACAACAACAACAACAACAAAACATTCAGTTCAGTTGGACAACGGACACTACAAATATAAACTGAAGTTGAGGGGTGGATGATTTCCTGACCATCATGACTCACTGTTGCTAAATAAAATGATTTCACTTTCCTGAAGTGTTTAAGGTTTCAAAGTCACAAGATTGTCACTATTTTACAACATCATGTCATCCAATGAGAGAAATGAAGACATTGTGCTTTCCATTAGACAACATTGTCTGGCATTTATTAACGCTTACAACTTCAAGCCAACAGTGATTACACCAACAAGCCGCTTGTCACTTCCACAAGACACAGCAAATGTACTTTAGTAGCAAAGCTTGGACCTTAGACAGATCACACGAGCCGCATCATCAGGCCGAGGGTCGGATTAAGAGTTCAGAGGCCCCTGGGCACAATGTCTTGTAGGCCCCCTCTTAATGATCTACTGTTCCTCTAGGGAGGTTCGGGGGCATGCTCCCCCGCAAGAACATTTTGTACATTTTAAGGTTAAATGCATCAATCTCGTGCTCTTTGAAAGATCAAAATTAAGAGCTTCAACCCATGAACTGCTTGTTGAACAAAGAAAACGCATTAATTTGTACCAGGACAATAAACAGGATTTGCACCAGGACTATAAACATGGAGTTTTAGGATCCCAAACAATTATTATAATAATGTAATAATGATTTATATTATTATTCCTATGACGTAAAATCCATATAGCCTATAAATGTACTAGTATATAAATGAAAATGAATATTTCAAAAGTATATTTTAGTCTACATTACACTATAATATAGGAAAATTTAAATACTTTTGTCCTTATTTCTTCACTTGCAAGAAATAAACCCTTGAGCTTGTATTTAGGAGAAAAGACCATCCTGATCGCGTGAGAACAGTGCACACTTTTCTTTAAATCACCCAGCACTGATGCCTATTATTCTTAAAGTCTTGTGCTGTTTTAATAAATGCAAAAAGCCATGTCATGGTTTCGATTTTAGTTCATTGGCAAAATAACACGATACAGACCTATGTCAGGTTAAACATTTTACATCTCATATGTGTTGGGAAAAGGGAGAAGAGACTTCGGCAAATGGCGGATTCAAACTCGGGTCCGAGCGCTGCGGATCAAAAGCTAATTCACGCGCTTAGCGCGTTACTACCTACGCCACTTTAGCTGTGACGTGATCGGTGTCTTTTTTCATAAAAAGACAGGCACTTAAGGCCAATTTATACATCTGCGTAGGGTGCGTGCAGTAGGTACGGCGTAGCATACGCACAGACGCGTCCCATACCGCGTACCCTTCGCCATCGCCTGACGCGCACCTCTTCAAAAATGTAACTACACGTCGCGACGACGTGGACCGCAAGATCCGTGATTGGTCGGCTTGGTAGCATCGCATTTCCTCCTACGCATTTCCGCACGTACCTTCTCACGCATTTCCACCACTGTCTATGATTTCCACACGTACCATCTCCTCCGATGTCTTCTCTCATTTCTGCCTTTCAGTTTTAGTAATTTCACTAAAGTGAACTGTTTTTCCACCTCAATAAGCTCCAACTCCAACATGATCAGCTCTCTTTTAGTCGCTATTGCTTGTAGTAACCTAGCCGTGAGGAATCTAAACACAGTGGAACATTAAAACCCTCCGCCGCCAACTAGCGTACATTACGGCGTACCCTCGACTGTTATCAAACAGTCCCTCGCGGCCTCGAAACACTACCAGCCCACCGGGGAAACTCCCGACTCTCCCGATTGCCATTCTGCCGCTGGTGCCCAGGGGCCCACGACATCTAAGGCATCAAGTGCCCAGTTGGCCCAATGGTTAATCCGGCCCTGATCAGGCCCCTCATAATCTAATTTGCAACCAGTTAGTACAAGACCCGGATGAACACAGACAAAACAACGTCATTGCTGTGCAGTCTATTCAACAAAGCGGGGGGATGTGATGATCCGGTTTGACTGCAATTATCTCACATCAGCAAAACACCTTTGATGCAAATCTGTATTTCTCAGAACAATATAAAACATCCTGCCTGTTTGTTTTTTGCATGTAATACAAGAGCTTGGTCATAGAGATGGGGAAAACTCACGCAAACACAATGCAAAGAGCATTTCTTTCCTATTAACTTTGGAATCATCAATAGTGTACGGAAAATAGGACAGAACAAAAGGGGAAAAAAATCATTTGGACAAAAATTAAAATGCAGAGAGAGAACTTCAGTTTTATAATGTGGGCACCAGCACAGCTCATTGCTTGAACTGGTAGATGTGAATCGTGCCGCTGCTC